AAAAAAAAAAAAAAAAAAAAAAAAAAGGCATTCTGAGGGCCAGCCACATAGCTCAGCAGATTAAAGTGCCTGCTTAGGCAGATGCAGGGGCCAAGGGTTCGATCCCCGCCTGCTGTGCCTGCCCTGCCCCTGGCACACATTGCAACGGAGGGGTTGAAATCAGGCGTGTTGGCACACGCCTGTAATCCTAGCTCTTGGGAGGCTGCAAAACAGGAAGGATCACAAGTCCGATCTGTGTAGTGAGACCCTGTAGACCCTGTACTAAATACCAGAAAAAAAAAAAAAAAAGGCTTTCTGCTATTGAGGAAATTAGCCAGAGGAAAAGGATGGAAACTTGAGAAAAAGTTAGATCAAGGGCATTTTTTTTTCTAATGAAAAGAACAGTTTTTTCTTTTGGATTTGGTATATTTAAGGAAATGACTCATGAAAGGAAACAAAAAAGCAAGGTAAAACTGATATAGCTTCCCATCAATAAAACAGAAATATGATTGTACTTTTTTATGGGACTGCTATAAGAATTTAATCAATAAATATAAAGCTCTTTAGAATGGCATAGTGTGTACTCAACAATGCTGACCTGGTTAGCGGAACCAGAAGATATGAGAGACCTAATTATTCAATTCATACCAAAAGCAAAGAAAAGGGATGTAGGTAAGGTTTGATGGGGCAGGAGAAGAGGTTTTATGCTTAACAACTCAGGGGGAAGAGATCCTATCTAACAGTGAGCAGGCAGGCAGTTAACAGGATAAAACTGATTCATAGCAGAGCCTACTTGGGCTTAAAGTAATAGTCCCACCCTTTATCCAAGGCCCTTTTTTATTATTCTTCCTCTCTCTGAGTTTAATCAATAAAATAATTTCATTTGTCAAAGTGCATCAGGTAAAAAAAAAAAGTCACTCTGTTATCTCAATTTTGCAATCAGAGATGCATATCTTTCTAAATCAACAAGAGGCCCACTGTTTTCAAAACGGACACAGTTATAAAGGCAGACAACTGTGATTTTTATTAATTGGAGCGATCTTACTGTGAATTTTTTTTTTTTTTTTTACTGTGAATTGAAGCTTAATTTTCATTCAATTTTCTGAGTTAAGAGTCACATCATTCATGCCTTTGGCCTGGTTGACTCTATTATGTGCTTGAGGTTTAAAGACAAAACTGTAAATCCGGATAATGCCAGCTGGCTACATGATCAATAATGAACACGAGAAATGCATTGTATATCCTCTTATCCCAGATAAACTGAAAGGGAAAATGTAAAGAAAACAAAATAATTCTTTTTCTTTATGTTTTGAAATTTTAAGCCCTGCTGTCACTGAGATTTTTCTAAAAGATTTTTCCAAGACTGATAAGACTGATTTTGTACTAAAAAAATAGCCCCCACACTGGGGAAATCAATGAGCTAAAGTTCTATAGACTGGTCCATGTCTTCTAAGAGTAGGGGAAAAAAAAGCCCTGATAAAAAGATAGTTTTTTTAGCCAAATTAAATTGTCCACCAAG